GGTTTGATAGACAGAAGGATGTCGATTTTAGTCCTCAATTGCTCGGACTTTCTTTCCCTTCGTCTAAGCATATGCGGCCAGGACCTAGACATAGAATGTACAGGTTCAAGTGCCATCGTCAACTACTTAGACTTGACCCTTTCCATAGACAGCAGTGCTCGCATTGCTTCCTCACTTTACTGTAAGACCGATCTTTTCACCTTCTCTATCATCAGCTACTCCTCTCTCCGCAGCAATTTACACCCCTCCGTCCACAACGGTATTGTCTACAGACAGCTCAATAGATACTTGGTTATCGAAACCACTTATCAAGGATTTACCACATCCGCTCGTCGTCTTCTCCTCCACTGCTCGCGTAAAGAACTTCCTCGTTGCACCATTATTCGTCTAGTCAACACATTTGTATGCAGAAATACGTACCAGCTTTCTAAGTATTTCCCTCATACGATGGCCCCCGTATCAACATCCGATACACGCTCTTCTACAATAATTGTACCACCCAGCATACCCCGACATGTCGCATTATTAACTTTCCGTTCGTATTGCTACTTCCTCCTCTCTATACTTTTCCACTTTATATTACAACTTCTTAATCTTTTTCAACTATTCTAAATTAGATATAATTAAAAAATCTTGTCTTTCCTATCTTCTTTTCCTCTTCTTTCTTTGTGCCTTCCATTCCGTCTTCTTTTTCCCCTCACCTCTGAACACCACGACCGTCATACTGAAGAGGTCCAGTCACGATGTTGAGCTAAGAAGTACATGACTTAATTGACCGAAACGTCTTGACTCTTTCATACTTAGTTTTCCTACACCAGCTACATTTCTACATCCATCAATACATAGTTCGTTCTATTCCTCCTCTATTTAAGTTCTTAATATTATTTGTACGTTACAATCAGCTTAGTTATATACAGGAGATGTTAGGAAATCTCTTATGCAAAAATAATCAAATAATTGAAAACTTTTATACGGTAATGACAAATACCATAAGTGAAAATTTATGTACAGTAATAATTGTTTGGCACAGCTTAGGTTACAAATACGAAGAAAGAGGAAATAGACTAAAAAGGTTACAAATACGAAGAAAAAGGAAATAGACTAAAAAGGTTACAAATACAAAGAAAAAGGAAATAGACTAAAATGGTTACAAATACGAAGAAAAAGGAAATAGACTAAAAAGGTTACAAAAGGAAGAAACAACAGTAAAAATACATGGATAACGGCAAGCTTGAATGTTGTACATAAACAGACAATTCACTGTTGCGCAGCACGTGCAGTTTCCATGGTATCTGTGCCTCCATTTTGGCCAACAATCCGAGTGGCATTGGTGTTTTTCGAAGATTACTTGGATACTGCGTGATAAGCCACGGAACATCGATCATATAGTTGAAATCGATTGCGGCAATTGGCGCGATTATCTTCAGCAACTCGGCAGCCCGTAAGCATTTGTGTTATATTGGTCCGCAATGCCAACAGCCTTGTTGAAGTACAGCTTGTCCTCAAGACCATTATTCGTCTCCAAGATAATTGGCACTCGATTGTTTGGCGCGCTTCATCCTTAAATTTGGGTTATAAAAGCTTACTAAGTACAGTGGCATCTATATACTACAAAAAGTATTCTAATAACGCACCTAATGTACCTGTGGCTAAAACCTGCCCGCTCCTAATCTTATCATCGAAAATACCCTGTACTGAAGCTAAGGAAAAGGGAGGGGCGGGAAACGAAGAGCAGTATTGGAGAAGAGAGGAGAGGGGAGAGGGTAGAGCAAGAAGTATTAAAGCGAAAAAGGAAGGAGGGGAAGGGCCTGGGCAAGAAGAATAAAAAGGTAGGGCAGCGGGGTGAGCCCCGTTCTAGCAGTTGAGACCAGCTGATACGTTTACTTGCCACAACAATTAACGCCGAAATAATAATACAGGACTCTTATCAGTTCTAAACATTAGTGCCCGACGTTCCAACTACTGGGCGTGTGGGAATTTTCAAAAACAAAAAATATAATTTTTTTTAAAAAACATAATTCTCAAGGCGCGACATTTGCATATCACATACGAAAGCGTCAAGTAGCTGAAGCAAGGGGGAGGGGGGAGGTTAACCATCTTCATCCTTTACTCATACCTGCCAATTCTTCCTTTTTTCCCCCACACAAGTGATATTGAGCGCAGAAAACTAAAGATGC